GGAGCGGCGGCGGCGGAGGCGTGTGCGCGGAGGTGTGAAACCCAGAGCCCCGTACACTGCGCGCTTAAATGATCAGTCTTCCCTGTTTGGCGCGCCAGCAGCTGCGCTCCCTCTCTTGCCTCGCATTTGCTTTCAACACAGGCAGCAGTTTCATTTTGTTTCCAATTTGCAGTATCCTTCTCCTGACCAGCAGGAGAGAGGGACTGCTTCAGCAGCAGCAACACACAAAAAAAAAAAAAAAAAAGACTATTTCATCATTCTGGTTTTCAAAGCAAGGCTCTGCCGTAAGGGGGGAAAGCACATGCCAAAGACCAGTCTCCTGTTTAGAAGAACTGAAAACTCAGCGCTCCTTAGGCTCAGGAAGCAGGCACAGGTTTGCAAGGAGCAACGCAAGCACGCCCCAGCTTCAGCATTGCTCGTAAAACCCTTGTGTTATTTGTTAACTGCTCGTAGCTACAAAAGCAGGCTTTCATACACTAGCCCAGTCCCAGGGCAAAACTCCGCATGGGGCGGTGTGCCGAATGACACTGCTGATTTGCCTCACGCATGCAATAGCTAATTCTGTTTTCAAATCCTGAGATGCTAACAGCTTCTGTAGCGCTACAAAGAATGCTATGAAAATAAACTAGCACCACGCACTTGTGATAAGCTTTTTTTTTCCCCCCCGATCCGTTTCAAGAGCACAAAGTCCCATCTCTCTGCTGCCCCGACGCAATTCTACTAACATGCAACAGGGTCGGCAGCCTTGCAGAAACGCTTGCTGCGGAGCAGCCGGTCCTGCAAGACTTGGGTGCACCACGCTGCCTCTCCGGGCCGGGGCTGCCTCTTTAAGAGATTTAGCAACAGTCTGGTTTGCACCGGCCCTGAGCAGCCAGACCCCCTGGCCCCTGCGAGCCTCAGGGCTCAGCTTGCCTCCAGCCTTCTGACTTGGAAAAGGCCCCTTCGGAGCTTAGCTCTCCTCCAGGAGGAGTTAGCCTCCTGCGGAGTTGTTTACAAGACCCGCTCTCCAAAGCAATTTAGACCCAAATTCTCAAATGCTCGCGAGCTTCTGTCCCTAGGTCGCCCAGCACAGCAGCAATCCCAGCCTGCAGACCTTGGGATCACACGTCTCCCAGACCTCGGGATTTGCCCGTATGCAAATGTAATCAGTATCCTGCCCTCGTAACCGGAATCCTGTTTCCCAGGAAGTCTCCGAGAGGGCTGTTCGGAAAGGCACCTTCGCGTGCATGGGCCCGGGTGCACTGTGGCTAAATAGCTTTGAATGTGTGACCAGAAAATGTTACCATTTGTTCCCGGTTCAGAAAAGCACTTGGTTAATATGTCTTCAATGCAATTCACTGTTAAATGCAGCATTGAGGTGCTGCTTGCTTGTGCCGGGGCCTGAACAGCCGATGATGATCCCGTAATGCTTCTGAACATTGACTTTGTATTAAATACGGCATGCTAGCATATTCCTAGTCTCCTGCCCCATATTTTTGGTATATTTTGAGGATGTGCATATTCAGCTGTAGAATCAAAGAGCGCGGATGACACATTTTAAACAACTGCAATTACATCTTTGCATAGATACACGTTCTGTGTCTGTCTGGATATTTAAATAGTGGAGGAGAAGGGTAGGTTGCGTACAATTTACATAGTAATTTTCAACTCCTATCATACTAATTTTCGAGACATTTGCTCAAACATACTTAACTTCTCTCTCTCCCCTCTCAAGAAAGGTATGCTGGTCATGGGCAGTAACCGTCTTCTCCATACATACACCATAGCTCTGAAAGCCGTGTGGGTTTTTCTTTTGAACAGTTTTCACCGAGGCATTCAGGATTTATTCTGCTCTCCGTATAATTTGTTTCAAACATGACTAGACGTGCTTTCTATAGAAAAGTGAGCATTTTATTTTGTTCGTGAGATGAATATGTATTCCTGCAGACAGTTTGAAGAATTCGGCCGCTCCAGTCTCGTTACGTGTTCATGTATACATTTGAGTTAGCTTATCACACACCATCAGCAAGACTACCGTGCAGAGAAGACAGAGCAATTTGCAAAAATAAATGTTTGGAATGTGATGTAGAATTGTACGTGCATGCAGCTTCAAGTCAATTATCATTTTCTCCTTTGTTCTCATTGGAAAGAAAATGAGGCATACGAAAGACTCTGTTTTCTCCTCTGCTTAGTTACTTTACTGCAATATTTGAGGTATCATATAATGGGGCTGTAACATAAAGTGTGTACAGACGGACTTCTGTAGTACAATAGGATTTATAAGAATTATTATCTTGCCAAAATGAAGGGAAAGCTACCTGCTGATTTCACGGTATTGAACTCAGTAGCAATAACGTCCCTACTTCTTTCGAGCTTCTGGGTTGTTGAAGTGCATGCTTTTGGTATGCAGGTTGCTTTGTATGTGAAACACAGTAAAGAAAAGCCACGATTTAGGTAGGAACAAATCAAAACACTGGCTGTCTTTAAGCTGAATGGCAGAAAACTGGGTTTGGGGTTTTTCCTCTTTCTCAGACTTTTCAGCTTATATTTTATACAGTAAATGTTTTTGGCAAGGCAATTGCTCTGCTTAGATTTGACATTTCTTACGGCACTAACAACACAATCAAGAAATTTGCTCCAAGGGTGGGCAATTGTGGAAGACTGCTTACGCTTTTTGAAACTGCTTCAGTTATAATGACTAATGTTCAAAAATCACACACAGAAGCTTCTGCTTCGTGATTCTTGCAGTCTGAGATCTCCACGAACAAACATTTGCACTCACCTTGCTTCAAATTAAATGTTTTCATACGCATAGCAGTCAGGAATATCTTTTGAATTTTTAAGACATCACATGCGAAGAGAAAATCCTCTCTTTGAACATTATCTGCATAGTTCAGAAGCTGATAAAAACTGATACAGGAGTAGCATTATCAGCTCTTCTACGTTATAACTGACGAGTCCTTCGTTTATTGCTATCAAATATGATACAATTAACATGAGGACGTTTACCTGCACAAGGAGGACTTTTCTCATGAGGACTAGCCAGGCTTTAGATGCTCCGCACCGCAACACATCCAGTGCTCTTCTGTTATGCATCCTCAACAAATAAGTTGACTTCACCTGCAGATTGGCAACGAATCTCCTGGCATCACTCCCTCTTGGGTGCTGTGGCTCCCTGCACTGACTGATGAAGCTCTCAGGTCAATGTCCTGATGCCTTCCTGGATGTCTCAAGTCAGGTGCGGCCCAGAAAGCCGCACAGAAAGCTGGCTGGCCAGAAAGCTTCTCCAAACAGCCAGGGAACATCAGAGCTCCCTTCCCTATCCTGTTGCTGGGAAGGAAGTGTTTCCGTCTCCGTTTCACAACGTCCCTGGGGTATTAGTTAATTTAAATATAGCTTGGTTCTCTCCACACTGTACTGCAGTTACAGATGTCCTTTCTCCCCATCCACATGGCCAGAAAACCTGTCTAGACTAAGGCAGTCTCCTTTGCCCACAGTTTTTCACTCAGAAGCCTTCCACAAAGCATGTCCTTCTCGATTATGTCATCCTCCCTTTGCATTCCTCCCCCTCTTTTGCATCAGTTTTATCCTACTTCTCTTCCCCGAAGAGAAATCCCTTCCACAGTCTGTCCTCATCATTCCTCTCAGCCCATGTCCCCTGTCAAGATGCGGACTCTCACCTTCACCTGGCCCAGAATATCATCTTTTTAAATAGCACTGAAAACACACCTTCATGCTTTCCTCTGCAGTCACGCTCATGCTTAGGAGAAGATCCTTAGAAAAAGTATCAAAGCCTTTAAAACATCATTCCACTGACCGGTGTTATAGCATGTCTCTTTTACCAGTAAACCTCACACTGCTACGTATCCCTCAATCGTGTCTGTCAAAGAATTGCTAGGATCAGCTCTTGGTTAATATTCTTATGAGGCTGTCTAATCCTGGGCACAGCAAACCTAGATGACCATGAACATGAGTCTTGGAGTTCCTTCCTTATACTATATTTTCCACTTCTCTAATCACCATGGAATTGTACTGTAGTAAACAGATTTTTTAAAAATGCTAGGAAAAACTTCGGTCTAAAACAGTTCAATACGATTAGATCACACCTACCTTCAGAGCTGAAATGGCCGAAATGCTTTTGGGTTGAACCAGTTTTAAATCTGGTTCCAGTTAACTTGTTTAGAGCCATATGGGCAGATTCACCTTTATGTTATCTTCCGTCATTCAAACGGAAGTTCCATTGGGGTGGATTTTTTTATTGTTATACAGGTTTTAGATGGAGCAGGATTAGATGCTGATTTCCATCTACTGTCTCCAAGAGGTGAAAATCTATGTTTTGGTCAGAGAAAACTGGATGGAGCTCGTACATGAGTTTAAAATCTTCAAAAATTAGAGAAGCTATGCAAAGCATGCTTCTGTGTGTGTGTGTGTGTGTGTGTGTGTGGTTTTTTTTAAACAAATACGACTAAAATAAAAGGTCGAGTACTTACAATTGTGGATCTTTTTAGTATAGATCAAGAAAACTTATTTCTTAAATGCTAATTAGAGAAACTCTATTAACATGGTTGCTATGCGAAAAACCTTCTGTGGAAGAGGGTCAGTCAGTCTGCAACAAATAAGGACCCTAGCATTCTCATAGTCTGCTTGTTTCCTTGTAGTCTCCTGCCTAAGACTCTTAATAATTGTCCCTTGAGAAGAAAGCCTCTGCTTCTTTAGAAGGTCACATACGCAGACACTAATAAAAAAGAGAAAGTGAAAACCCCAAGAACGGTCCACTCTGTGAGTGCGATGACAGCTGCAGGGATGTCTTAGTTCAACACCATTTTACTTCAGTAAGCTCCCAAATTTAGTGGGTTTTAGCCTGGACACCACTAGGCCTGTCAGTCGGTCTTCTGCCTGGAGAAATAAACACATTTCTATTCCAGAGTTTTCATTCTCCTTCCCCTTAGCTATAGATCTTGTCACATTCTCTTAGACAGGAAAAACACAAAATCACATCTGAATGCTCCCCAACAGCCAAAAACCACTTTATGCAGCAACAGCCATGCCCGCCACATTAACTGGGTGGCCCATTTAGAGTCACCTTTGCTTAGCGCCTGTTTTGTACCGAAACTGTCATATCACCTTGGCAGCAGGCCTGAAGCAACGCTCATGGATCAGGCGGGAGGCAGCTGAAAGATGACTACAAACCCGGCGCGTGCTTGCTGTGGGCAGGATTGCTTTGCGATTGTCAGCGCTGGTATACATCCCACGTTCTCTGACTGTGTCTCCATCTCACATGTGAATTAGATTTCAGAGTATCTGACGGATCTTAAACAGTGCAAAATAAAAAAAAACAGCTGTTTGCCATAATGTCTTCTTCTACAGTCTGGACTCTTCCAAAAAGCAACTAAAAATCAGACACCCAAATAATAGTTATTTATCAGCATAGCATGGAGACCATCACCCAACCGTTTATGATACAGAGAGGACAGACAAGAACAGTGGCGATTAATCTGTGGCGTGCTTGCTGGAATTGATTTCTGGTATTCATCTCGATAGCAGATCATCTGCCCCCTGGGCATAATGCTGGGAATCGAGAGTCTCCCACTGAAATGTTGAAAAGCTTCTTACTGGCTCCTTAACCCCACATGTCAGAGACAAACTGTTGTTTGTAGTAGGCAACAGAAAACAAGTGCTAGCATTGATTCACCTGCATGAGCTGATTCCAGCCAGGTATGCCGAAGGAATGCTGTGCAGAAGCACCCCGTCTCTTGTACGTTATCGCCGTAATACCCTGCTGTAGGCAATGACAGCGGAATCGTTCCAACTTAGTTGAGCCTTCTAGATGAGAGATAGATAGGTAGACAGATAAGTAGATAGATAGATAGATAAAAATATGCAATGTATTTTCATTGGAGAGGGCTTCTGCAAATATAAACATAAAAACACAACTCAGAAGAATGCCTGCCTGTCTCCAAGTTGAGTAAGTAGGGCTTTACTCCCCTGGCACACGCATTTCCCTGCTGCTTTGAGACAACTTGCATTTTTCTACCTTTATAGCATGACATGCACTGATGAGCTAACTCAGCTGGGTTCTGGAGCTTCAAAGTCCACAAACACAGTATGGAAAGTACAAAAATGGAATTGAAAATAAAATCGATGCAACGGCAAGGCATTTTCCTCTTCTGCCTCCTCAGTGCAGGAAAGAAGAGGGAGACAGACCTATCCGGCAATGAGCAGCAAATCGCCTGCAGCGGCAGAGATGAT